ACTTATAATGTTTTATAAACATTTATAAAAAGTTTTAATGTTTTAACCTTTTCTGTGAATACTTGCACTCGTTATCACTGTAAAAGCCGTGTATTTTTTATAATCCTGTTAATAGGGAATATAATATGGAACCGCCTATCTAAAGAAAATAATTACAATGTTAATTTAAGGATCTAAATATTTTTATATAGCTTAGAGTACTTCCATAGTAGACTTTCTTTGTAAGCATCTGCATCACTTTTACTCATTCACTCATGATTACTTGGACACATTTTGCCTGCCCTTTTCAGCTATAGCTTAAGTTAACGTAAGTTGATGAGCGGCATGTTGCCATAATGGCTTTGGTATGTGACTTGCATGCTGGAAAAGAGTTTTCCTTTATTACAACATATTACAACATGTTCAAAGTTAGATGATTTGTCTTCCTTGCATAACAATCCTGACATTCTCATCCAAAGGTTTGTTTTTTATTTCAAAACCTTGGCTGGTATGCCTCACAGACTCATTCATAGAGTAATCCAAACAAAAGATCTTCAGGGCGCACTGTGATCTTGACATGCAGGTGTGAAGCAGAGTTAACGGCTTCAGTTTTAAAAGGTTATTAATAATATCTTCCATATTGCATTAACATTGGAACATTCTTACAAGTGTAAAAAGAGGCGATACACAATGTGTCCCCTCTATAACTCTTCAGTTTATGGCCAGCAGCCATATCACCCTGCAACTCACAACTGGCAACCCACTGAAGCTAAGCAGGTGTGAGCCTGGTCAGTACCTGGATGGGAGACCACCTGGGAAAAACTTTGAGATTGCTGCTGGAAGAGGTGAAAGTGGGGCCAGCAGGGGGCACTCAACCTGCGGTCCATGTGGGTCATAATGCCCCAGTATAGTGATGGGGACACTATACTGTAAACAGGCGCTGTCTCATCTTCGGATGAGACGTAAAACATTGGAACATTCTTACAAGTGTCACAGAGGGTCCTGACCCTCTGTGGTCATTAAAAATCCCAGGGCATTTCTCGAAAAGAGTAACCCCGGAGTAACCCCGGTGTCCTGGCCAAATTTCCCATTGGCCCTTACCAATCATGGCCTCCTAATAATCCCCATCTATGAATTGGCTTCATTACTCTGCTCACACTACACTTTGTGTGGTTAGCGTTCTGACACACTATGGCTGCTGTTGCATCATCCAGGTGGATGCTGCACATTGGTGGTGGTGGAGGGGAGTCCCCATTACCTGTAAGGCGCTTTGAGTGGAGTGTCCACAAAAGCGCTATATAAGTGTAAGTAATTATTAATTATTATTATTAGTTTACAGAAAAATTCCCCCAGAGCCACACAACATTGTCCAACATTGCCCTTCTTCTGTCTGATTTCCAGGGAGTACCCCTCTTACAAATGGGAACAGCGCATCAGTCCTTGACTATGGTAAAACAGTACATACGATGTCTGTTGCAGTGTCACCGTTCACTTTTCTGTAACCTGTACAGAACCATGACATCTCATCAATGTTTGGTACCAATAAACAGGGGGGCTCCATAGACTTCCTTCTTTGAACTCAACTGCGCTCTAGTAAATAATGTGCAGGTGTCATGTCTGAATGACTATCTCCCGGTAGTACTGGTACCTGCCTCAGTAGTCATGAAGTGATGGGACACTTCAAACTGGACCCCCTGCAGTTTGCTTATAGGAATAATAAGTCAGTGTACGATGCTGTCTCACTGGCCCTTCACACCACTCTTGAGCACCTGGACAAGAGGAACACCTATGCCAGGATGTTATCTATTGACTTCAGCTCAGCCTTCAACACAATTGTGAAAGGCAGGCTGGTGGTCAAAGTCAGTGGTGGAAACAAAACCTCATCCCCTATGATCCTAAACACAGGGTCCACCCAGGACTGCTGCCTGGGCCCACGGCTGTATTCTCTATTTACATGTGACTGTGTGGCTAAATTAACAGAAACCGCATCATCAAGTTCGCCGATGACACCACAGTAATCGGTCTTATCAGCAACATGATGAAACCACCTACAGGAGCGAGGTAGCAGAGCTGGTGGAGTGGTGCTACAACGACAACCTCACACTTAACATCCGCAAAATAAAAGAGATTATTGTGGAGGAGGCACGGAGGATGTCACACACACATCATCATTCACGGGGCTCCAGTCAAAACTGCCAGCACCTCCAGATCACTGAGAGGCTGAGCTGGTCAGAGAACACTGCTGCCATCCTCACCGAAGCCCACCAGCGTCTTCACTTGCTGAGACAGTTAAGGAAGTGGGGGATAAGCAAGACTCACCAATTTTTACAGTAATACCACTGAGAGTGTCCTGGCCGGTGGTATTACAGTGTGCTATGGTGGAGCCACAGTACAGGACAGAAAAGCCATACATAGGGTTAAGAGGTCTGCGCAGAAAATAACTGGGCTACCCTCCATCGACTGGATATATCTCGACCGCTGCCACATCCGGGCTCGAGCTATATTTTGGTACCCAATTCACCTTGGCCATGATCTATTTTCACCCCTGGGTTATGGTAAGAGGTATCGCAGTATCAGAAAAATGACCAATAGATTCAAAAACAGTTTCTTCCCCCAAGCAGTCCGTATCATAAACAGCTCAAATTAGCACCTGGATTTTAATGCACTGCACTGTTTGCACTTTGTCCTGTCTTGGCTCTATTATAACATCTTTTGTCTAAATTTATTGTCCATGTCTGTTTGTCATTTGTGCCTAGTTTTCTCTACTGTTACTGGGTACAGCTGAATGAGTAAGCATTCCAATACACTTGTTGTATATGGCAAATAAAAAATCTTGAATCTTGAATCTATTAATAAAACAGAGGGTCCTCCAGAAAATTTAACTAATGCATGATTTCTTCTTCTGTTTCATCTAAAAGAGTGGAATACAAAGTCAAATCAGGATTCCAGATATTAATAAGTGAGTGCTTTTGATAATGTACACTAGACAGTGTACATTAATAAACAATAGAGTCGCTGTCTCAGTTAAAGGTGTTACACGTCTGTCTTCACTGTTATGGTACAGTTTCAACATATTAATAAGGTCTTCTGTGGTTTCTGGCAATTATAAAAATAACCCTTCTTCCCTCTTTTGCCTTTGTTTAACTGAAAGAAATCAGTGAAAAAATCCTTAATTACAAAACTATCACATATAATAATTCATCCAGATACACAGACTCATGCCGGAGACAATTTTTCCAGAAACAACCTTACAGAGTAACTCTTTGGACTGCGCAGTAGTGTACAGTACAATAAGAAATATATTTTATTTATTTATTTCTAGAGTAATTACATTTGTAGTGGCAAGGCTTATTAATAATACAGGAATTAAGTTGCTGATCCCTTGCCAGTTCCTCTCTCCCTCATCTCAGTGGTGCTGAACACAGAGAGGCCATTCCATTAGGTTCAGATTTAAGGTGCTTTTCTATCTGATAGAGTTTCCTGATAAGGAACAACTCCCAAGGCTGAGATTCTCCAGCCACCCTAATGAATGGTCATCTCTGGTGCCTTACTGTCTGGGAGATTCCGTAGGAGAGACTCATCCCAGGTTGTTTACATCCCTAATGTCGGAGAACATTGTTACTTATCCTCCACCTTGATCAGCCAATCAAGAACTGGTAGGGCAGGGTAACCCCATGTGGGTCTCAAATGCCCGCGGGACTTTCAACAAATGAATGACCATAGTTCCTCCAGATAAAACAGGCAGCACAGGGCCCAGAAGGTGCCCCTCCAGGACATTCTCAGACTCATCTCGGACAATCACGTGACGGCCCAGTGTGTCCGAGTGCCAGGATTTTAATTTGTTCTAAGAGTCGAGACCGAAGGTCACCCACTCGAACCAAAGGATCTGCCTGAGGTTAGCCCAGCAGCAAGCCTCGTGAAACGCCGGTACTCCACTGCGAACACTCGCCTGATCACTGAGTGAACTATGGTCGGAATTGTCGACAGCTGAATCTCAGGATTCAGGACTAGCGCTACATCGGGAACGAACCAGTCTTCTTCCCATCTAAAGAGTGTGACTTGCTTGGACCCGCAGTCACTTTTCATGTGCACAATCTCTGCTAGTGCAGCCAGGACTAACTAGCCAGTCTTCAGAGAGTCACTGCTAGTGCGCTGCATCAGGAGTATCTCCTTCCTTCTCCCACACCTCACGCCGAACCAGGACTGCCTGGCACCAGGCCAGAGGCCGCAGATTGGACGCAGCAACAGCCTGTTTCTGTTTCTTTGTGTCTGCGGGAGATATGAATCCACAGAGATTGGATGAATATTCAACATTCTGCATTACAGCTCGAGAATTCAATTGTTATCTCAACCCCAGTTGATATCAATTTAATTCCTATGAGTGATGTACTTGCTTTGGAGTATCTAGTGTAGAAGTTGTAATCAAAGCTCATTAACGAAACGGTATAAATGAATGTTATACTGAATCTATGTCTCTCTTGGTTTGTAACTCTTCATGATTGAAAATATACCTTTTGTATTCTGCTAACCCTCACTGTGTTTATCTAAATCTATCCTTATGTTTATATGCACATTGAATATATTAATAAATGTATTGTCGTGTATTAATATCCATGTGTGTGCGTTGCTGAATTATTCCACAAGGTCAGTTTTCTAATAGCCATCAAAGAATCAATTTGTGACTTACTGCTACAATTAATAATTGTCCAAGTAAATACACAAAACACCTACTCATTAATAGTCTACCCAGCAAGATAATAACTTTGAGACCTTGTATTATTTAATGTTTTGCAGATATTCTAGTCATTAGACCAGAACTGTTAAATATGTTAGGCAGAAGATATTTAAATTTACCCCACAGATTGTATAAAAGCAAGTTTACATGGTATTTTAGGAGGATATTTTCTAGATGGATGTTTACATTCAGTCTGGGCAGTGTTACAACACACAGGCTGCAGGTAACAACAGAAGAATAGGAGGCTTCAACCCAAGTGGAAAGGCTGTGACGCAGTCATGTCCTGTAGGCAGCTGTTGGGGTTTACAGGCTGAAACCCAAGTATATGAGCCCAAGGATCTTTGTATGTTTTCGGTGTGGATCATAACTTGCTGAGGGCAGCCAAAGGCACTATGATGGGAGTGAGTACTGACTTAGTATCTAGTGGAGAAGGCTGCTAGACGCTGTCTTAAAGTATTGTCAGGACGCCACTGGAATACTGAATTTACTATGGTGTTCAGGTGACTTTTGGGAGCAGATTCCCTGTCAGGAACTAGAATGTGAGTAGAGACTTAGAAGAGTCAGGTCTGTTTACTTACACAGTGGAACTGTGCAGCAGGCTGAACTTCCACAGGAACACAGTAACGGAGCGGTTTCTCAGTGGCATCTGGGGAATAAAAAATAAATCTGGGGTCAACTGAGTATTGAGACTTACAGAGGACTGTCATCACTCAAGGGCTATGAGCTGCCGCCGGCCCAGGTTTAACAGTGCCTCCTCCTTAACAAGTGTCCTCTGGGTGCCAGATGAGGACTTTAGGGAAACGGGGGTACATCAGAATGCTGGATCAATCAATAGACCCAACAGGTATTGCCCATCCAGGACTGCAACCATCCCCTTCCATTGTCACCTATTTGAATTTGAACAACACTAATATGTCCCAAAAAACAACCATATTAAATAGATTAAATAGCAGGAAGAGTAAATCATTAAATCATAGTTAGAAAAACATATTTAATTAACACCAGAACATACAGTTGCTGACAATGAATTATTTACTCAAAATGTTACTTCTAATGGGTTCTGACTATTACCGTTTATTGAGTATTTTCCTAATTCATAAGCCTTAATATGGAGAGAAGCTCAGGTACTCTGGAAAAATAGTCCTTTTAACAGCGAAAAAGATCTGTCACACTTTTGTTGGTTTGACAGTGTCTTCTGCTTGGAGTTTGGGTTACTCTGCAATGCACAGAAAGCCCGTAAATTGTGATCAGTAGGTTAATTGATGACCTGGTCATTTTTGTCACAATAATCCTCATATTTTCTTGTATGAAATACAATCATTTCAGGCATTAGTACTAGAGTATATGTTTTGAGATTTTCCTAAATGCCATGAACTTTTCTTCAATTCTTGGATGAAACTTCAGAGTTTTGTTTCCCAGTGTATTCTTCACAGCATTTATCTTTTGGTTGGATCCTTCAGTACTTCATTGCCATGGACATTGCCTCGTATAAATGAAACAGAAGCCAGTTTAATAAGTATAATTGAATAGAGCTATATGCAGAACTCTTGGAAAATTGGTTTTCTGCTAATTTCAGACAAAATCAAGAGAAATTCATTAATAAAAATGTAACTCATGAAGGTGGTTGCGAATTTCATTCTTGATGGAGAGTCCATCATCAAGAACCCAGAACAGAATTTTCCTTTCTAATTTCATTCAGTGCCCTTCATTATCTTGAGGCGTCATTCCGGGCGACAGTTACCATATATCCAGTTTTTCAGTTTTCAGGCCACAGATGCAGTGTGGTATTCTGGACAGTGAATGTATGCACAATCTTGTTGTTCTGGGTTCTAAATTGTGATATTTTGTTTTGTATTTTTCGATTGCAGAAAGGTGATTAAACTGGATGGGGCTGTTTAGTCAGGAGTGGTGAGGCAGACCGTGTTTATGATGCATTTTACAGCCCTTTCCACAAAAACGCAGATCCTTGAAAGGCCTTCTCAATGGCATTTAAGGCTGCCCTTCTACCTCAGCCCACGTGCTTTTGTCACAGTGGCCTCTGTGCGAAATCATTGGTAGGAGCTTCCAGACATCACTCTCCTGCTCCAGCTGTCATTAGTAACAACATTGTTTGATGAAGGACTTGGAGAAACTCCTGTAGATGGAAGATGCTTTAACTGTGGAGAAACAGCTTCCAGGTATATCCTGACAAAATGAAATCTTAGCATGGCATGGAATCTAAAAAACTGGAGATCTCATTCTGCTGCAGCCTTCTCCTTCCAAAATAGTCAGTGTGATATTCTTCACAGAACTGAAGTGATCTTTACGTGCTTTACTGTGATGATACTGCTCTTCAGGTTCTTGGGAATTCCATGATAAGGATAAGGGGATAGAAATTCAAACTTTTTTGTAGGAGCTTTTAAACACTGTGCAAGTGTTAAAATGCTCCTGTTGATGTTGACACCCAAAACAAGCACAGTTGAATCAAGTGTAGCTGAAGGTTAGAAAAGTTAACAAAATTCAGCTTCTTAGTATATCCAGGTAATTTTCAACATTAACAACAATATTTTTGTCTATTTAGTTCTATTGATTCCATTTAAATCTTATAAGCTACAATATAATGTCCATGTGGAAACGCATCTACAGAGAAAGGATTCAGACAATTAAAAGTTTGTTTAAGATGAAAAGTGTATTGATCTAACAAAAGTGATTATGAATTGCAAAGATGTGGATTTAAAACACATTTTAGCCAGAGCCTTTTTGGATTTATATTATGATCACATTTTTTTGTTACATATAATAATAATTATTACTAATATTTAAATTATTTTTTTTATTTAATGCATAATTGTTATTAATTCAACAGATAACTGATTGTACTTATAATAAATGAGTTCTTTCTATTTAAGATCCCTTTAGTCAGGAGATGCTAATGCAGCCTTCGGCTGCAAGGTGTTTGCTCTTTCAGTTTCTGCCCTAGATCTGTTTTTCTTTTAGATTAATTTTAAAGCTTCTGCAAGACAACCCAGTTATAGTGACAACACACATGTGTTGACTGTAATGACAGTGACTCAGATAACCTAATTTATGAAACTTGGCATTTCTGAAAAATAGACAATTCTGTGTCAGGATTTAGACATTTCTTTCATCCACTTTTTAACTACTATTTCCAATAGAGGGTCGCAGAGGAACTGAAGCCTATCCTGTTCAGAAATGGGCAGAAGACAGGATACACCCAGTACAAGATACCAGTCCATTGCATTAAAAACACTTAATCATCATCCAGTCCTTGTACTTTACATTTTAAAGAACATACTTCAAAGTGTGAGAAGCTTATTTTCTTGAGTATATAGTATTTAACACTATTGTAACTTAACACAAATGCAACCAATGTTATCAATCGTATGTTAATTACAAGAAAAGATCTGGAATTGTGTAAGCTAATTTTAATTCTTTAACATTTTTCATCAATAATTAGCTTGATGTCTTTATCATTTTTATTGTATTGTGTTTTTATTGTATTCTGTTTGAATAGATCCTTTTTTTTAATCAACACTCATTTCAATTTGATTTGGTTTGCAAAAAGGTTAAAAGGATCTTTGCCACCCGTAGAAAACAGTTTCTTATGCCTCTTTACATTCCCTAGTCTTTTTTACAATCCAGTAGGGAGCTGCAATCATCCTGCTGTTATTGTCAGGTGCTTGTTGTTGTTGGTGCTGGCAGTGGTTGGGGGGGTCGAGTTCTCAACACATAGTGAATAACTCCCGGTACAATAGACTCACAATAGACCCAATGAGGTGTAATCAACACCTGCTTCTAGCAGGAGAGCCCAGTAGGTGCACAACATATATAAATTGAAGACCTTCAGCATTTTTACTTTAAGAAATAAAGCACTCTGTAGTGACTGATTTGATTATCTAAAAGTATATGAATTTATTTATTTGCATATGTGAGTATTCTTTTTCGAATCTCAATTTTGAACTATCTGTAGACTTTTCTGTCACCAAGTTATTTTAATGGAATCCAACTTGATGGAATTAACTGAATCTCAAACCGTCCAATATTGTTTTCCAACTATAAATGGATCTTGCACCAAAGAACTTCGGTCCACAGCTGTTTCTGTCATTCTTTATGTGTCTATGTTTGCTGTGGTAATTCTGACACTGTGTGGAAACCTGATTGTGATCATTTCCATCACTCACTTCAAGCAACTACACACACCGACTAACATGCTGGTGTTGTCCTTGGCTGTGGCTGATCTTCTAGTAGGGGTGTTTGTGATGCCTTTTGATATGGTGAAATTAATAGAATCTTGTTGGTATTTTGGAAGTTTTATTTGCTCTTTTCGTACTGCATTCAGTTTCTGCCTAACATCAGTTTCAATCAGTAGCTTAATATTTATAGCCATTGATCGCTATTTTGCTGTATTCAACCCATTTCTTTACTCCACTAAAATTACACTTAATATAGCATTGTTCTGCATAGTACTTAGCTGGCTTTCATCACTGTGTTATAATTTGTCACTCTTTTTCTTCAATGGCAATAACGATAGTGAAAAACTAAATGCCTGCTTTGGAGATTGTTTCATTTTAATCAATGCAACCTGGGGAATAATTGATCTGCTTGTTACATTTATTATCCCTTGTTGTGTTATGATAATATTGTATGCAAGGATATTTTTAGTTGCTAAAAAGCAAGCACAAGCAATAAATTCTATAACAAATCAAATAACATTTACAAATGGAATCAACAGAATTTCCAAAAAATCTGAATGGAAAGCTGCAAAAACTTTAGGAATTGTAGTATTTGTCTTCCTGTTTTGTTGGATACCTTACTATGTTTTCATTGTCATTGATGGATTCGCAACCTTTACTGTTCCTCTTATAGTCTCTAATTCTCTGACTTGGCTGGTTTATTGTAACTCTTGCATAAACCCCATAATCTATGCTTTTTTTTATCCTTGGTTTCAGAAGTCCACAAGACTCATTTTAACATTTCAAATATGTAGTTCAGGTTCATCCTTGAATAGCTTGATCACTGAGAAACTCTGAATTGTTTTCTTTCAGTTTCAGAAAGAGTACAGGAAAGAGAAATTTAAAGAGTCCACAAATAATCTGTGAAATATATATGTTGATTATGTCTACAGTATGTTCGTATTTTCCTTTTCTAAATTAAGTAAAACCTTATTTTTATTAACTGTATCATTCCCTTACACTGAAGTGTCTGTTGCACCTGCTACTAAACAGCTTATATACAGTACTGTACAGTGTAAATTACAAATAGTACCTGCAAGCTTTAATAATTTAATAATTTAACTTTTTGCAGTAAATTCAATCACTGGTTCAAATATAAGGTGAGTATTATTTAGAGAAACAATCTTTCTACAGAAATGGTATTGACAGTTTGCTAGTAAGATCACATTTAGAGGATACTCACCATGGTAGAAGAAAAATATTACTGCTCTGAGATTCATTTCCAGGCCCATAGGAATGAATAAATTATGAGGGGACATTATTTACATATTCATAAATTCTGAAAGACATTAAAAAATGCGACCAACATATTTAATTCGGAATATACTATATAGCTATTATTCTGAATAGTTCTTATTCATGTCTTATATGACAATGCAAAACAAACCTGGATGTGCAAATGCAAACTGTATGAAATAGCTTTTTCACAGATTTTTGCTGAAAATTGTGGGTTGTGTCTAGAACAAGCTAACTAACCATGTATTCAAAGTTGATAGCATTGCTACACTTGTTGCAGCTGGATGAAATCTTCAGATCAAGAAGAAACAACCACACAGTAGAAGACCTGAATGGTCTTAACTCATTTTTACATTTTCTTATGCTTTTCCAAAAGTATAAATGTCAATGTTATTTTCTTTTATATAGAGTTAGTTAAAATGTAATATATAATATTTGCTTTGCTTTTTATTTATTTCTATTTTGTATATTTTACCCATGTTATTATACCACGTTATGAGCTTATTGAAAATAAGAAATTTGGATAAGTAATTTAAAAATATATTAATGTGCTATGTGTACTGTTTTTTAAGTCTGTGTTACTAATCTAATGAAATACTTTAATAGATAGATATTTAAGACTTTATTGATCCCGTAAGAAAATGTATGTGTTGCAGCAGTCCAGCTCAAGACAAGCAAAAACAGACAGCAGAATAGACGAAAAGTTATACAAAATAAATATAAAATAAATAAATACATAGATGTGTGCAAAATATGATGATCATATTCACTGTAAAAACAATAAAATATGTGCATAATGTGCATAGGTTTATGCAGATTGATTGTCCAAAAAGTACAATGGAGCAACATGCTGTCCATAGACGAGCAGATGAAGGGCTAACAGTCCTAGCCTAGGGCAGCGTTATACACCCTGACAGCTGCCGGGAGGAAAGACCTGCGGAAACGTTCCCTTGAACACCATAGCTGGAGCAGTCTGTTGCTAAAAGTGCTTCACTGCCCAGTAACAGTCCCATGAAGCGAATGAGAGGCGTTGTTTATGATGGCTGTACTAATGTACTAGCAAATGAAAAAAAAAAAGTACATTATAATCTCCAGAATGGCCCTATGAATACCAATTACACTAAAAGTAGGATTTCAACTTTTCCTATTTACTGTATATGGATAATTATAATATAATTAATAAATGCTAAGTGCTGAAACTTGTGAGGATTGCTTCTATTCATCAATCAACAGTGCAACATTCTCATAAATGAGGTTAACATAATAATGAACACATGACCCATGCTGGTATCTTTTTTTATTTTTAAATAAAAACCTATGTATAAGTGATGCATCTGTACCCCTACCATGATTATGGTCACTCATGAGCCAAAAGTATGCACAACACTACTCCCTAGATAGAGGCAAACTATGCCAAAGTACTAGGTTACTTGCCCCAGGAGAATTCTACTATACGGGTTCATGGGGGTAAAATCACCTTTAACTGAGTCTTGCATGCTGAACCTTGTTACATTCTACTCCTGTAAACTTATTTTTCAAGTCAAATTCAGAGACTGATTGACATCTGTCTGTTAACACTAATGTGACAAGAGCAGCATTACCTCAGTTAGGATGTGGTTGTCCGTGGGCTCAGAGCATACACAGGGCCAGTCCCTAGAACAGAGGTGAGCACAGCTATTGCAAACGTCCAGGTCTACTGTCACTGGAAATTTCAACACTGCTTCAAGGGGGTGAAGTCAGCTTCTGTAATTTGACAGAATTTGACTGTGTTTTCCTTTACAGTGTGTAAACTATTGGATGTGAGCCCATGAAAGTATATTTTAAAATCAAAGCACTAAAAATTCATTCAGCCCAAATCTCAAAGTTTTATCCACCTTCCTTCACTTGTTGCAGTTTAAGAGGTTTGGAAGAGAGATCCATCAACCCCAGCAGCTAATCATCTCTCCGTTCCCAAAATTGTAAATATTTATCATTTACAATATGGTAAAAAATTAAAATATTTATTTTAAGCGACTCTCAGTTTCAACACATCTTCTCAATCCATCTTGGGATCCAGGAATGGATATTCAACGCAAATATCAGAAGTGAAAGTCCTCATACCTGACAAATGTCCTTGGGAATAACGCTTGTTGCCAGTTAACATCACTGATGAAGGGTTGGCTAATAAAATGTTTTCCATGTTAATGAAACCTGATCACAATTCATAATCCAGAACAAGCATAGATTCCCTTTGATGCTGACAAAAAGCCTATGCATCTAATGAATAATTGTATAGGGTGATACCACCTCTCCAGATATATAATGTGCATCTTTTTATGTGGAGGAGGTGGATGCAGAATGCACCTTAACAAAATTTAGTCATGCAGACTGTTCTATCAAGGTTAGTCTCATTTTGATCTTTTATGGGAAAACTATGGCAGTATAACCATTCCTCCTTTAATATGAGAGTTGTGTTCCTGAAAAACCACATGCCACACGAGAATGCACCTTAACAAAATTTAGTCACACAGACTGCTCTATCAAGGTTGGTATCATCGCAGAATACAAACTGGTGTCCAGACAAATCAGTGGGAAATACTGTAGCTCCCACAAAGTGCTGCATTTTAATCTTTTTGGGGGAAAACTATAAAATGAGAGTTGTGTTCCTGAGAAACACTGTATTATCAAAAAAATACTAACCGTGATTCAATAGCATTTAAGGGGTTAGGTGTAGGAATGCTGTCCAGGGTTTAAGAGGCGAAGCCTCATTGAGAAGGGACGTGTTACCTAGGTAAATACAGCTAAACCCAGGGCTCTGCAAAGAGAGCAATCTCAGTGAACAATCTTGTAGGATGTTGAGAAGGTCAGTGGCGCTAGTGAGATGGAGACTCTGGGCCTGGAGTCCACAAGCAGAGGGCCCAGAGTTCTCAGACTATGGCTCCACCTGTCCTGGTTGCCCCGATGTGTTAGCCAATGTCAACACTACTCTTGGAAAAGAGTGCATGGAATAAGGAGCAAATAATTAACCAGCAGGCTTTTAGAGGCATGTCAAGGCATGAATGAAGACACCTGTTCGTGCCCACTGGCAGCTACTATCCCTTTAGTGTCATTGGTATCTGGAACGGTCAGTTTGTAAGATTGGAAATTTGTTATTTAATCAGAAACACAGCTTTCCTTAATTTTTACAGTATTTGCAAAGTGTCAATTCTGTACACCCAGATGCACAAATCT